AAAACATGGACATTACAATATTTCCTACTAGATTAAGTCTGAACTACAAAATGAAGTAAGGTGATAACAAAGAATTCAGGAGTGCACAGGCAGCAGAGTAGATTTGCTGGTTGCAGACAGGGAAATGCAGGTAAAGCAGCCAGGTTGACAGGGGACAGATGAGCCTGGAGATGTACGTGCCTGAGCTGGAGAAACGTATTTGGGAGGCGGTCTTAAATGGTATTTGAAACCTTGGAGTTGAATAAAATCACCAAAGGGATGATTAACTGTCCCCTCCTGTGCTCAGTGATCTCATTAGAGCACACACCTAGAATAGACTGTGCAGCTTTGGGCTTGTGTCTAGAAGGCCCATAGACCAGGGAATCCCAGTCTTCCCTGTAGGAGAAGGCCCCTTTGTTGTTCCTGGCTGCTTAGCATGAAATAATCACACAGAACCTATATTAATTAAATCACTGCTTGACCCATTAGCTCTAACTTCTTATTGGCTACCTCTTACAGCTTAATTTAACCCATTTCTATTAATCTGTATATCACCACGAGATCATGGCCTACCAGCAAAATTTCAGCACATCTAGCTCTGACGCGGATCCATGGTGTCCCCTGACTGCCCTCCTTCTCCCAGTATTCAGTTCCATCTTTCCTGCCTACCTAAGCCCTGCTCTATCCAGGCCAAGGCAGTTTCTTTATTCATTAATGGTATTCACAGCATACAGAGGGAAATCACACATCACACAGGAATCCTCTGGACCTCACAACAAGAAAGGTCAGGCTTGATGACACAAGCTTTTAATCTCAGCACTCTGGGCAGAAATCAGTGCTTCCTCTCCTAGGACCTCTCTGAGTCCAAGGCCAGCCTAGTCTACAAGTTTAGCAAGTTCCAGGCCAGTCAAGGCCACATACTGAGACTGTTTCAACAAACAAACAAACAAAAAAATCAAAACAAAACCCACAAACAAAAACAAAAGACTTAGAAAGTCTGTTGAAGAGCCAAGAATCTCTGCATTTATAACAAGGTTTGTGCGAGGCAGCTGTTATTCAGATCATGGAGCTGCAAGGATGTAGACAGGAGCTCCCAGGCTGTGCATCAGCCTCACTTATGGCATGGTACATAAAATTTCCTGCTGCTAAGTATGGTGGCTTATATATGTAATTCTAACACAGCAAGAAAGGGAAAAAGGATTGCAATTATTTCAAAGCATATACTAACTTTTATTTATTACTTTTTTCATTGTGTGACAAAATATCCAGCAGAGCAACTTAAAGGATGAAAGGTTTATTCTGACTCATGATTTAAGAGGCACAGTCACTCTCAGCATGAGGCATGATGCAGTACAGGGCAGCAGGAGCGTGGGGCTGGGAGTCCTCAAATTTTAGTAGACCTGGAGTCCTCAAACTTCAGTAGATCAGGAAGTAGAGTGTAGGGATCCTCTCATCTGGTTTTCTTCTGTTCTTCCTCTTATCCTTGGTCCCCAGGTTGGATCTTCCATCCTCAATTAATCTCTGGAAACACTCTTACAGGTGTGACCAGAATTGGATCTCCTAGGAGACTCTAAATCCAGTCAAGCTGACACTGAAGATTGGCCATCACAGCTACTTAGTGAGTTCTAGGCCAACATTGGATACAGTGTGATATGCTGTTAATAGAGAAACAGAAAAAGGAAGAATGAGTCCTGGGATACATACTGAGCAATGTAAATGAGGGATCTGGAAAGAGTCTGAAAATTGTGGAAGAAGATTTATGGCCACTGATGTTAGTGGTTAGAATGGCATCCATGATGGAAAAGGGATTATGTGGGCATTCCACTGGGGGAGGGGTTGAGAAAGAAAAGGGGGATTATGCATTATTAGTCCTAAGTTGGCATGTTAACAGATATGTATTGTTTTTTTTCTCCCATGAGATGTTGTCTCATATAAAAAATACAGAAAGCAAGTATATAGAGACTCTGACTGGCTGCTATCTGAAAATTACCTAGACTGATTTCTTACTTTTAGAGATAAACAATAGAATCCGAACTCTTATCCTTTAAAAACAAGGGAATTTAATATGTGATATTGGAGGGTTGGTGATTATTTTATTTTGGAAAAAGCCAATGAATCAAATCCAAGGCTTCACAGCTGGGAACAGAACTGACAAGTCCATCATCATCAGGTCCCACAGGAATCCTCTGAGCACAGGAATCACTGATGCCCTGGAGCTGGTCTCCGTGGGACAGCTTTCCTGCTACTCTGGGAACTGGATGTGCCAGTGTTAACTCCAGGTCAGTTCATTCCTGCAATTCCAGCTTTTCCTTCTCACCATGTGCTCACTCAGCTGGGGAGCTGAGGACTCCTGTGGTGCCCAGCTGCAGGGATGTTTGGGAAAGGGAAAATGTCGGCAGGACTTGCTCTCTTTCCTTTCTGTACACTTACTAGGTGTTCCCTTAATGTGCAGAGAGAGCTCAGAGCTGGGAGAAGATGGTAAAAGGTGGAAATACAATGATGAAAGTAACTTCCTGGAAAAGTTATCTGAGTGACTACATCAGGGAAATAAATGACTGATAGATCCAGGATAATAATGTTCTAGCGTCCTCGTAGCCCTGGACTTTAAAAAGTGTTAGCACAACTGGGCATCGTGGCACACAAGATTAATCCTAGCGCTTGGGAAGCAGAGGCAGGTGGATCTCTGAGTTTGAGGCTAGCCTGGCCTACATTGTAGGTTCCAGGACAGCCAGGGCTATGTAAAGATACCTTGTCTTCAAAACAAACAAACAAACAAACAAAAGAACAAAATCTGCCTGTAGACCCAGTCCTGGGTCAGGTGAGCAGTCACACATGGTGTGTCTCACGGTAACAAGACAGGAGATGAGCACATTTCCACCCATGGCTTCATCTCTACAGAAAACCCTCAAACACCAATCCCCTCCCTACCTGTGCTTTTCTTCCTCAGCATCACAATGGCAGCCACAGCTACAGCAACCACAACTCCAAGGAGAACCACACCAACTATCACTCCAGTTGGGGACCAAGGAGATGGCTCTGGGAAGAGAGAGTAGAGTTGAGGACCAGTTCTTACCCCCAGCTCAGCACTGATTCTACTTAGGGTCTCCAGAAGGTCATCTGCTTTCCTTGACATCAGGTTTTGTGCTCACACCCCTCCTTACCCCATCTCAGGGTGAGGGGCTCAGGCAGCCCCTCATGTTGCACATGGCATGTGTATTTGTGCTCCTCCCCAGAAGGCACCACCACAGCTGCCCACTTCTGGAAGTTTCCATCCCCTGCAGGCCTGGTTTCCACCAGTTCCATGTCCTGGGTCTGGTCTTCCCCATCCCTCTGCCAGGTCAGGGTGATGTCAGCTGGGTAGAATCCAAGAGCCCAGCACCTCAAGGTGACATCTCCTTCAGGTCTAGGGTGATGGGTAATATGTGCCTTTGGAGGGTCTGAGGAGAAGAGTTGGAAAATTCAATATTTTATAATTTTTTGGGGGGCGGGACTTAAGCAGTATTTGTGAGTCTGTCTTAACAATGTACAAGAGAATCAAAATGTGGAGGGGAAAAGGGTAGCCTGGAGCGGTGCAAACCCCACACAAGTTGTCTTATACTCAGGCACTAGTATAATCTATTCCTTGGAAAAGGAAGATTCCCAAATTTCCCACCATGAATGGAGGAATTCTGGTCCTGATTTATAGAGTGAGAGCCTCATCGTCTCTTGAGTGAGACCTCCAAACGCATTTCATGTGGGCAGAGAACCCAGCCTCTGGGAAACCATGATTTACAAAGGGCTCCAAACTGAACTAGGCTGCTGGTGGTTATTTCAGGGATCTTCTTTCCTATAATATCAAGAGTCCCTAATCTGTCCTGAGAAAAGGGCGAGTCCTGGGAGAGTCACTCTCTGACTTTGAGTCAGGAAAACCAGTAGCACTCCTTCCACTCCGGATACAAGAGAGAGCTACAGTATTTCAGCTTGTCCCATTTTTCTTCCTCCTTGGAGGCATTGCCCTACTCTGAGCTCAGACGGAGGAATGGCTTCTCAATCCCTCCTACCTGAGCGCTGCAGAATCTCCTTTCCTAGTTCCAGATGCTTGAGTAGCCAAGCAATGCACCGGCCCTGAGCGAAGATCCTCCAGTGCTCTGCTAAATGTTTCGCCTCCCACCTTTGCAGGGCGATCTGAGCTGTCTTGTCTGCAGCAGTCCAGGTTCTCATGTCCTCGTTCAGGCTGATGTAATCACGACCATTAAAGGCATGACTGTAGTGCCCACGGAGGAAGTGTAGATCTGGACCCACTTCACAGCCAATGAAACACTGGAAGGTATGAGAGTCTGCAGCCGCCCCCAAAGTCAGTCCCATCTACAGGGTTCAGCCCACCCACAGAATTTCCACCTGAACTCAAACAGAAACCGGGTCTCAGTCCGTTGCTCTCCCAGGTCCAGGGTCTCTGCGGGCTCCTCAGCCTCGGACCGAACCTAGGACCTGGGACCTGGGGCAACTCAAGCCAGTCCGTGAGGACATGATTGGGTCACTCACCGTCATCGCTCTGGTTATAGATTCGGATTGCAAATAGCAAGTTTTCTTGGGCCGTGCGGGAATAAATCTCCAAAAGTATTCTCTCTTGCTCCCAATAATCCGGCCCCATCTGCTTTGCCCATGGCACTCGCGGCTCCATCTTAGTAGCCAAGTCACTGTCGAAGCGCAGGATTTGCGTGTCGTCCACATAGCCAGCCACGAAGGCTTGGGGATCTCGGAGACCGGTTCGAGACGCGGTCGCGGTCGCGGTTACTAAATAACTCAGCGAGTGTGACCCTGGGGACGGCGCGCAGTGAGACTAATACCCTCTTCCCGGCACCCCGGGCAGGTGCACCGGCCAAGAAGGGATCAAGGCGCAGGGCTCGGAACGGTGATGAAGAAGGGCGGAAGGATCTGAGTAGGTGGTGAAAAAAAGGGCCTTTGGGATGCTCCCCTGGCCCGGAGCCTCGGCTCTTCCAAGCCAAGGCTCTTTCCTTCCTGACTCACCAGCGCCACTCTGGGTCTCGGTCTGGGTCAGAGCCAGGAGTACTGTGAGCAGCAGGAGGGTGGGACTCAGAGCTGCAGTCCCCATCCTTGGTGTCTAGAAAACCTGGAGGGTTTGAGACTTTGTTCCTCGCTGTGGGGTTTATAGCGTGGTGGTTTGTGAGGAGATACCACAGTGACTGTGAGTTCCTTTCTCCAGAATCCCGACTTGCGGTGTGAGTGAGAACACGCTTCAAGGATAGGACAGCTGACAGGGGTTGAAGGCTACAGAAAGGAATTCAGAGGCACTGAGGGAATTCCCAACCTGTGCCTTCCCCACCTCAAACATCTTGAAGGCAAAACCTCAGACCAGGGACTTATGGAGACCTCTTCCTCCAGTAATTGGTGCTTTTTGTCACATCTGCTGTCTCTGAGTCCTGATCAGGAGGAATGCTGAGATTCAGAATGTTTTGGGTTCAGGATCTCTTATTAGTGCTTGTACATTGTTAAGTATCTTAAAGTTTTATGTAGGTCAAATCGATGACATTTACTGTGTTTAAAAAAACTTCTCACCGTGGCTGACATTTGTAATCCCAGTGCTTAGGAGGCTGTGCTGAGCAAGAGGTTTGACATGAGTTTAAGGTCAGCTTAAGTTATATACTCTGACATTTAAAAGAAAAAAATTTGGTGTGTGTGTGTGTAAATTTGTGCGAAGGTATGCCACATGTGATGTGGATGTGATGGAGGTCAGAAGAGGGAGTCAGAGTCCCTAGAACTGGAAATGCAGGTGTTTGTGAGCTGGGTGCTAGAAACTGAACTGGGGTCATCTCCAGGAGCAGTGAGCACTATAACCACTGAACCATCTCTTCAGTCCCTTGATGCTCTGACTTCAGAAAAGACTTTCAAAAAGTGAGACTGTCCTTATATTCTGCAAGTAAGTAGTGATGGTGAAGAATTAGTAACTCCTAATTAGTTTTTCAGTCTTGATTCAGACTAAGGTGTCAACAGATTAACTCACTGTCAAGCACACTACAGTAAATATGACAAGGAAATTTGAGAAGCACAAAAGTGTTTTTGATGTCAATCACCTCATGCAGGTAGCTAAGTGATTTCATGAGTTCCATCCAGCTTTAAACACTATTGTTATTTGTTGGTCTTGGAGGCACATGGCTTGTTTCCCCCACTCAAGGGGCTGAGGCAGGAGGGCTTCCAGGACTTGAAGAATGGCCTGAACCATATAATTTTTGTGTGTGGGGGGAAGGGGCAAGAATGCAGAATATTGGGGAACGGTAAATATTTTTTTAGCGGAAGTCAGTGTGCTTGGAGAACATGTAATTACCCATTGGACCCAGAGAACAGTTTGTAAATGGTTTGAAAATTATTTTCTTTGGAGCAATGGATGGGACTGAAGTAGATGATGGTGGCAAGTGGCAAATCCGTCCTGGATGCTGACAGGCTTCTTGCCCTAAGAGACTCTTAATAAAACTGAGGGAGAAGACCAGAGGTAATTATTTTCTTCCTTTGTGATTCGGGACATTAGGCAGGTTAGAGGACAGAAGAATAAGGCCCTGCCCAACCTCTGCTGCTAGTTCCTTTACTCAAAACAACCAGCATAAATCAGGCTGCAGAGCAACACAGCCTTGGGTATGATCATCACTGGCATCTGAACACCAACTCCTTCTGCCCTGCACACGGCAGGCTGGCATCAGGCCTGGCTGAGGGGAACATGTCTGCTGGTAGCTGTGTTGCAGAGAGAATTGAGAAGAGGAGGACACGGCAGGGGATACCCCAGGAAAAGGAAGAAATAGAGTAGCTGCTAGAGAATGGACAGAAGGCTGCCCTTCAGGAAGAGGTGATGGCCAACAGCCCACAGGAAACAAGAGAAGAGGAGAGGATCCTCGACTTGCCTAACTTCCTACAAGCCATAACCAAAAGCAGATTTAGGATGATGTATGGATGGAGAGGATATGGATGATATGATGGAAAAGATGAGAAGAATCAGGAGAAAACTGTGGGAGGTGCAGTTGAGAACCTGTATTCTTAAGGAGGAGCTCTGTAAGATCATCATGATGAATTCTGACTTATGCCTTGACTTCTACAACTTTCCATGAGATTCATACACTGATTCCTACTGTATTCTTCTTCCTTGCGTTTTCCTGAAATGCCCTTACTGGTCTGATTGCTCTGAGCCTTGTGTTATTTCCGTGTGCCAGATGGGTCTTCCGTTGTCAGCTCTAATTGGAGACTGCCTTCCTACTCTCTGTACATTTCTGTGAACAGTGCAGTTTTGCATGGAAAAATAATGTAAAGTAAAGAAAACAATTGAAAAAGCAAAACAAATAAACAGCAACAACAAAAAACATGTAAGCTAAGCATGATGGGGCATGCCTTGATCTCAGTCTCTGAAGGCAGAGACGGGCAGATCACCACGAATTTGAGTACATAGTGAGGTCCAGGACAGTCAGTACTAGAGAGAGAGACAGAGACAGAGACAGAAAGACAGAGAGAGAAAGAAGACCCTTTCTCAAAAAAAAAAAAAAAAAAAAAAAAA